TTTCTAAATAGTACTTTGCATTCGTATGAATTATTTATTGTGAAGTAAACACGCTAGGGGACACACTGCGAACGAATTATATATACACACTCAGTTGTAATTCATGATGTTAATATGTTTTCAAGCAATTAGGCATTCACTTTGGCAGCGTGCATCCCGAAGTGCATCGGAAACGAGGTACAACGTTTTGAGTACATTGTACGAGTACATTAATTCCTAAATACTTTCCCCATAAAACGCATCGTAACTTCAATCTTAATGACGATCGTAATGTTTTTTCGGCGCTCCGTCCGTGAAAGGATGCGCCGGATAAATGAGTGGTTCGCCATTGAATAAGGTGAAACAGATTTTCGAGTCTTCGAAGTATAGTATAGTTTTCATATTAGTAAACCGATCAAAATCAATGTGAACTACTGAAGAATAATACTAGCGATTTCTAATCGTAACATCAAGCATAAAATCTGAAATTCATCAAACTAACTGATTCCGTAAATCTAGTGTTAAGGATTGAAGACGTCAATCCGTACATCAATCATATACGAGCTATTAACACGAACGCGTTGCAAATAAATGAGCCAAATCAGACGAACAGGGCAAAATCGATGTTACAAATGAAAATGATTGAAACGTAGTCTTCCAATTTCATCGTAGTATACAACATATTTATGTATGATTTGAACTATAATTTCTATGTGTAACTATAATTCATATATGAATGGATGAAAAATAAAAAGATATAGAATTATAATTATTATAACTATTAACGTGATTTCTCTGAAAAATGAACTTAAGTCACTTTCAAAATAAACGTCTCGTGTAACTGTAATTTCAACTTGTCTCTATAATAACTTCGACTATATCTTCTATACATAACTCCAATGCAATTTCCTTTCCTCTAAACTGATCGTATTTCCTTCTCAAGAAAAATTCTCTGAATAAATTATTACACAAATTTTTATCGGTGATACACGCGTACGTCGGTAGGTTCCCATCGATGATCAAAGTGTGCTATTTACGACGATAAGTCGCTGCAAAGTGGAAAGACGATAGCAGCCCTTAAAATTGTATAAAAATGAAGTCGTTTGTTTCGCAGTGGAACCATGAGCGAATACAGGGGAGGAAAATTCGAGAGGCAACATTTCTCGCCCGCTGAACGAGCCGACATTTCTAGGAGCTATTCCTTTGTAATCTATACCGGTCGCCTTAAAAAGAAGATGGCGGGAGCGAGAAGAATCCATCCAAAGGTACGTCTCTTTTCAGCGGCGCGTTAGTGTAAGATAAAACGATAGGTTCGTTTGTGTTCTATCGAACGGTTAAACTGTTTTATTTCTTGCCGACCGATACCGTAGGAATTCAGAGATTTTTATTCGTCTCGATATCTTCTTCGACGAACGCAACCTTGTACGAGTTTTATTATTTGATTTTTGTTACATTCCTATATCAAGCTTTATTTCAACGAATTTATTGGTACGATTCGTGACGTTTCATCGAAAGTACCGATGCAATAACCATATTCATCGAATTAAAATTTAATATATTATTTCGATACATTCTTGAGAGATTTATTTATAATGCTTTCATTTCCTTTAAGTCAGTTTTTTCAACGAATATAAACAGGAGAAACGTGCTTAATGGAGGGTAAGATAATTAGTTATTTATTTATTTTTTAATATTTATATAATGAATCATTGTTTGTAGCAGCTATGTTGAATACGAATCAGAAAAATTACTTAGAAAATGAGCTTGACCTGCTAACATTATTAATACTCTTTTTATCTGCTAATTGACGATACTCGTCCACAACATGTAAAAGTTCTCATTAGATATAATTTATAAATACCAACACAAGTGTTACAAATGATTAAAACAATTCAAAGTTACTTGGAAGTCTAACTACGCGAGGGTAATGTGTTCAGTTATCTTCGCCGATTAACAGGTTAATACTTCACGACAAAATTTATCTGCCATGGAAAGTTGCAGAAACAAGTAGCAAGTTCTTTATTAACAACTGTTGTTCCAAGTTGAGCTCCGTTGAATAGTAGTCTCGCCTTAGCTCGAGGGAAACCTTAGTAGATTTAAGTTTTAGTCGATCTTTGAAATTCTGCGTTACTGTCTCTCAAAAAGTGACTCCGCGACTTAAGGCTAAAAAATTCAAACTCTTTTATTAATTTACAGATTTACCATGTATTTCAAATGCACGCGAGGTCAATTTTTCGGAAGTTGTAATGATCACAATCCTTTCGAAAACATAAGATAATTTTCATGAATAGAATGTTTCTGTATTAAAATATTTACATATGTTCTATTCTCATTCTAACAAATTGAAAGTATTTAAATTTACAAATTTTAATTTTGAGTAGAACAATTGTTCATAATATGCCTCAAATTGCAAGGTCAACTACGACTTGACCTACAGCATCACTGTACATCGAGTGCCTTTCAATATTTCTGATAAAGAACATTGTATTCTATACATTGGATCATTGATTGACTGTAGTAAAGTGAATTACTGGTTGGATTCAAACGAGCTCGAGAAGTCTTGAACCAAAGGGTAACATTCAAAGAGTCAAAGGTCTTACAAGGCTGTTGCAATTGAAGGTCTTGAAAATGGGAGCCCTTAGAATTATATAATATTGCAAATATTGCACGAAAAATGCTTCCACGAGTTGCTCAGTCATATTAATAACCACGTTGATAAGTAATCATGTATAATATATTCAAATTAACGATAATTGTCGAATAATTATCAGTGCGTTTAATTAATTTGATGAAAACACAAAGTATAATGGAAAATTTAGCGGATTTAAATGTAATTCATATATTATGCAATAAAGTAATATTTCACTAATGTTATAATGTTAAAATATAATGTTATTAATGTTTCGACAATACTGTGTGTATATATGAATATCATAAAGCAAATATTAATATTTGTATTAAAATATTATCATTCTATTACTAGGATACTATGTTGCCTAACTTTGTCTAACCAAGATTATACGAGGAATCGATGTACACTTAAAAAATTAAATACTTTCGGATATAGAAATCAATGAAACTACATTTATTTAATATACAATATTTAATTATGCAAGATATAATTAAAATAGATGAACGAACTGCGGATTTTCACGTGAAGTACCAAGAAACGTTCTAAACACGAGTGTTTTTTCCTCGAGTCTGAGTTTGACAATTAATTCGTTCCCACATTGAAATTCTGCGAATCTTTTACAAGAACCACTCGAGACTGTCGCCCGCAACTCTCCTCTTACCGCTACGCAAGTTCTTCGGAATTGTGTTGTCGTTTCGTATGATAATATTCAAAACAAGCCAGGAAGTTCTGAACGGATTCGTTACTTTAACGAAGTCAGTCACGAGAAAGTGTCTATACAGGGTGTCCTGTCACCCAACAGGCTGAAAAAAACCCGGAGGGTAGTTATCTCGCATAAAGTATTAAGCCAAGAATCTAGAAAAAAGATTTTCTTACAGACAGTGTACTCCGCCTTCGAGGTAATTAACTTTGAAACTTTAACCGATGCACGTGCGTTCGTACTTGCAGCCGGTAGAAATTTTTAGTAATGAACCAGACATTCAAATGCTGAGTTAATACTCTCATTAGCACACGAACTCGGTAAAATACCGCGTTCAATTGTTTCAAAAATTAAGTCAACTTCACGAAGATTTCACTCTACATTTCCATTTTGTTTTAAGTCACTACTATACCGAAGTTTAATCACGGATAATGATAAGAATTTAAAAAGAAAAACTTTTGTATAATATTCAGTTTGTAATATGTAAATGTATAATTTAATCTAAAAATAATATAACGTAAAATAATATACAATACAATATAAAATAAAAAACAGTTACAATCGTAATTGTAATATTATTTTATACTGTTTTACTTTATTATTTTTATATTACGTATTATATATAAGTCATAATTTATATCTTTCTATGGAAGCAACGTCTCGCTTCAGTATTTATACCACATCCCTTCGAAATCAATATTTAATTCATCATTTCGAAATAGTGCAAAGGCCTCTTGAATAAAATACGCACTAACAATGTTAGTCGATCTCCACAATAATTCACCAATATCATTAGCCAGTACTTCATTACATTATTTCCCAGGAAACGTCCGTATCACGCAGCATGTCGGCCACCAACCAAACGCAACAGCGCACGCATTAAATCGTCATGTCAATGAAAACCGTTGCAAATGCGGATTGTCACTGGGCTCACACCGAACAGATCCTCGCGTACGCAACGGAATAGCAACAGGGAACTTCAAAACCAACCTGACACCGACGAACCCCATAAAAGAACCAACGAACGGAACACTCGAAACCAACGACGCGCGGCTCCCGATGAAATCCGGCCTCGAGCACGGTCAAACGAGCCCAAACATCCCTATTTACATTCTTCCCGCAGCATTCCGTTCCGCCCGGCGCGCGACGAATAATTTCGTCCGCGGGAGCGGATCATCGGCGAGGCTCCAGGTCCAATCAGCCCCGGCCGCGGCGGCGGAAACGAAGAAAAAGCGGAGCGGAGGAGGAAGAGTCCGCGACACGATTGTTCGAACGATAAACGGCGGAAAGGGAACGAGGAAACGAAGTTCTCGGCGGAATAGGCGCGGGAGGGTCGGATCGAAAGGGAGAAAGACGACGCAAGAACGGGAAAGACGACGCACAGGGAGAGGAGCCTCCGCCGACAGAGATCGGAGGATCTCCAGGAGTGGAGGCCACGAGCTTCTGCGACTTTTCCTCCGGCAGCGGTCGGAGCTTGCGCGAGACGGTAGGCTCGAGGGGTCCGCGGGTGGAAAGCGTGTGCTCGGGCCGGATGGATGGAGAGAGACGGCTGGAAAAGGGAAACACAACTGCGGGAACCGTCGCGGGGAGCGAGACAGCTAGACGGTGGATAGAGGGTTTAGGGGGGTGTTCGGGTTGCCATGGCAGCTACCCCGGCCGGGTAGCAGACCCCAGTCTTGCCGCGGCGGTCGCCGAGTGCGCAACGGCTCCGAACCTTGTCTCCCGGACCTCTCGTTCACGTTCGACGACGGTGGTGATATATGCTCGTTCTGCGTAACCGTCCGTCCGTTCGTTCGTCCGTTCGTTCGGTTGGTGATCCTCCCTCGGTGAATGTACACGGACGCCGTGAGGGGCAAGTGCGACGATCATCGTACCAGCAGTGAACACTCGGATGAACGTAGTACGAGAGGCGGCCGCGACTCGGCCATCGGCATGTAAATTCCTTAACGTTGTTTTTGACATGGATCCGCCACGCGTGATCCCCAGATGTCCCCCGGACAGGGGATCCCCGTCCCCCGGACCGACTCGATCGCCTTTCGCGACTCGTTAGACTCCTTCCACGCGAGCCCCCCGACCACCCACCACTGCCTACGCTAGCCGCGAGTTTCGCCGCTCCGGCCGATACGTACCGGGTGTTTCGATCCGCTCGCTCTTCGTCGCGGTTTGCGCGTTGTGACAGTGTAAGCTTGTAGCCTTCTCGGCTACGCACCCCCGTGGCTAGCTGGCGACCGAGTTAGGGAGAAGATCACGGTTCAGGACGTGAAGTGATGTGACGCGGGCCTCCGCGAGACCCCGACAGAGGTGTCTTTGGGACTCGTTGATCGAGGGGAGGGGAGCCTTTTTGGAGCTTCGTTGAGATTCTGGGATGTGTCGGTGGTTTCGTTGATACGATCTTGATGCGGATGTTTCGTAGATGTTTGTTCCTGGATGTTCTCGAGCGAATCGCTCTGGGCGAGGAATTATTGGGATTCTGGGCACCGAGTTATGATTATCTTCTGCTCGGCTTGAATATCGCTTGTACGGCGTTTTTGTGTGTACCGGGTTCGAGGACGTTGTTTTAGGGTTTGGGAATGTAAACAATTGCTAAGTGGATTCTTCTTCCTCGAGAGGTAGTCAATATTTGTGGATGTTATTAGTGTATGGTTTAGTTTGATTGGTTTTAGGAAGTATTTGGCGTTAGGGTTTTTAATGCTGAATTGTGATTACCTTTTGCTTTATACAGTTACGGTTAACATATATTTTAATAAGAATTGTTCATATTAATCGATATTTCGAAATGACAATTTTATTTAGCTCTGCATAATAGAAGGTACAACACGTTTTCGGATTCGACTATCATTAGCAGATCATTCTAGGAATCAGAGACACGAGGAATTATAGCTCGACGAGTCTTTTCTCAAAGAGGTACTCAATATTCGCAGTTATCACGTATTCTAGTTGGAATTAATTTCAGTGATCAATATTTCGCTGCTCGGATTCACCGACGCCAAATTATACCCGTCTTACACGTTGAGAACCGGAAAACACGTTTCAACGAACGATCATCCCCAGCGGATCGTATCGCGGTTTAGAAAACACGAACAATTACAAAGTTTCCGTATATTTTTCTTCCCGGAGAGGTGCTCGATATTCCGTGCGGCGATAGGGATCGTCTAAATTGGGTATGAATACAGCAACAGACGGAAAAGGAACTCTTCCGCTGAACGTTTCTCGCTGGCATTCGCGAAACGTGATATCGCGTTTTGCGTGACTGCTCCGCGAAACGGACGCGCGGTGAAGAATCGACGAGACTCAGTTGACCTGAAACACTATAACGACGGAGACAGCCGCCAGGATATCATTTCTTGCAACTGCCGCCACAAATAATGCGAGGAGCCTGCCCCATTGTCCGGGGGATTAAATTTATACCTTCTCTCGAATTTAACGCCGCCCGCGGCGGCTCGAACTCTTCGGCAATCATTATTTCTATTAATTAAAGCTGTCACGCCGGTTTTCGTATTGATCTACTCTTAAGAGCAGCGTGCCGATTGTGACGCGGGGAAACGTGCCAATTCAAGGGAAGCTACATCTGTTCTGAAAGGGAAAAAAGACGAAACTACGAAATCCCGTTTTCTTTGCTGGAACTACTGAGCGTTTAACGTGATCGATACGTAACCCCTATGAACATTGTAGTAGAATATTTTCAGTTTCTTCGGATACTATTTATTTTCGAAATCATTTCGAATATTCGATGCTTGTAACCCCTTGACTTAAATATCGTGTCAGACTCGTGATCAAGATTTTAGACTGAATTTAGGAAATCTAAGTGTTATTTATATTCTCTTGAATATCAGTTAAATATTACTTTTCTAGTGTCAATGGTTAACCTTTGGAGTGAACGTAGACATAGGATGAACACAGTTAAGAAATTAATCTTAGGACAGTGGGTTATTATCAATAACTACGAAACAAGAAAATCATGTTGACTGGTACTGTAGTTCCAGTGTTAACCCTTTAAGTGTTGTGGACGCATACACGTCCGGTGAAAGTCATCGCTGGGGATTGTGGGCTTATATATGAGTTCTTAATTTCACACGTGGCATGGTGACAATTATCAGTGTATACGATTAATACACGCGTTTCTTAGCGCCATTGGATTTGGTGAGACTAAAGAATTACAAGTATAATTTAATTACAACTTACTTAATTGTATGAATTAACATAATCATCGATCTTCACATGGGCGAAGAAATATTGAAAGACCATATAAACATTCGATACATTAAAAATATATCTGTTTCGTGAAAATAATGCGATGAGATTAATCAAATCCATTCAAAACGCTTATCAGTCACAATTAACACTCTTCCATCGCCATGCTGAAGTTAAAAGCTTACGTTGAATACCGCGCGATTTCACATACCGAAGTACACGAAATGAAGAAACATATAATATTGACTTATTGAGTTAACTGACGTTATCATTGCACTTTTATCTTGCTGAATGCCACCGCACTAGGTAATATTATCTATAATGTAGAAACGTTTTCAAATAGTCACTGTTTACTCGAATGAATTATAGTGATTCGATTTCGTTGGGGGTCGCCGGCAACCCCATGACATTCAGCATGTCTTTCGATCACTTTTCGCATCCGATATTTACAGTTCGTTGTATTCCACATTATACTTCAATCGCGAGAAGTTTCGTTTTGCCTCTAAAATTCGTCGCATCGAAGGAAACTAGCTCGTTTGCACGAACACCCGAAAAACATGTTCCGAGCCGTAACGGGAGTAATTATTTCTCGATGGAAAATCGTGGCTCGAAAAATTGTAAACGGCGAAGCGTTTAACGAAGTGTGCAAAGTGATTTCGTATTTCGGTTACCGCTGCCGCGAAGCGAATATTCGGGATTAAATATTCCGTTGGAAATTTTCTATTTGAAATTCTGGAATATCGAGCACGCAACTTGGCCGCGTTGTTTGCGAACGGCGCGCGCGATGTTCGAACTTGAAAAAAAACAAAAACATTCAGAAAACAGACGGTCGTGTATCGAATGATCCGAAAATGAAGTTCGAACGGCGCGGTACAGCGCGCGGAGCGCAACGTTTGTCGCGTTTCCGGCTGTTAAATGCCACGTGAACTATCAAAACGTGTCAAACGAGTGTGTTCGCCGCATTTTCCCGCGATCGGGCCGGCAGCGTCGAAACGTTGCGTCGCGACGCGCAAATAAACCGATCGCTTTCTCTTTCGGCGACAATTTCGGACGGTTCGGTCGGCAGCCTAATATCGGTTTTGCTAAATTACACTGGCAAACCCGGCTCGTCGCAACGTGCGCTCGCCGCGGACAATTTTCGCGAAACGGATGCACCACTTTTGTTAACCCTTTAGCACGTTCACCGTTACGCTCGCCGATCACCGGAGCGTCGAAATTACGTGAAAACGATTGCTTATAAGGAAGCTGGTGTATCCAAACATTTAGTTACGTAGGTAGCTAAATAGTGTAACTTAACCCCTTGCCTTATAATATCGTATCAAACTAAAAATTTCAAATATCGTTTAACAAATATAAATGTCATTCGGTTATTTTGCGTTCAAATGAAACATTTTTCTTGTTGGCAATTTGTACGGTTTAGAGTAAATCTACACGTAGTGGCTATTTACGACTAGTAGCTTGCTAATATACTAATATTGTTGTGGGATTAATCCTTTGAGTATTAAAACACTTCTTTCTTTAGCTTACTACTTAAAGATCGTGTAGGTAAATATTAGTGTAACTTATCGTAAATAATTTTATCGTAAATAATTTAATAGGAGACAAAAGTTCGATGCTCATTCCGTGTCTACGTTTACCTCAAATATTAAAGATTGATAACAAATAATATTCATATGAAAAATAAATAACACTTAAATTTCACCGGGACCTGTCGAATGATCAGATAAAATTATGCCTTTCCACTTGTTTATTGAACTTTCTATCTCTATATTGTTCGAATCAGTTCTTCACTTTGTCTGTCCTCTTGTTTCCGTTCCCACTAAAAGAAATTTATCGCCTATCTTGTTCACCTTTATTTTACAGCCAATTATTTGACTGGTTACGCTAGGAAAAGTGCCGGTACGGTTAGCGTTAACGAGTTTACTACGCCGTTGACGTGAGCGCGCGTGAGAGTCCGTGAAGACCGCCATGCAATCCAGTTACCAAAAGGTTCCTTCTGTCGCCGGAAGATAAGCGGAGGAATGTAATTTTGGAAATCGAGGCGGACTCCCTCTCTCGTTCCGGGAACTTATACCGCGTTTCCACGGGCGCGGCGTTTTTAATCATTTTTCTACGGCGAGGAGACGCCGTCTCCGGCTCTCGGACGCGTGTTCTTGATTTCAGAGCGATGAGATACCGCGAATGGAAACGTTTCTGGGGGTTCTCGCGACTCGACTGCGATCGTTCACGCAAATTTATTGTCCTCCCGATCTGTTTAAAAAGAGAAATGCGACGTCGCAGTCCGTTTCGCGAGTTCCTGATGCTGAAACAGTGTTCGCGCGGTTTATCTCTTCACGGGACTTCGTTTCGCTGTTGTGAGTATGCACCAGCTGATGTATTATTTTCACAATGGTGATGTATTGTATTCGCAGAATAACAAGATGTTGATAAGTATCTCGTCCACTTCGGTGTTTCTAATCATTTTTCTATCTCTACGGAACGTTCTATCGCACTAACACGTTGATCGGTGCTGTTTACGTTTTTGCCCATCTGAGCATGAAAGTGTCATTTTTGAAATTATCTAACATGGAACCAATTTAACATTCAGTGCCACGTGTACCATACATGCCAATTTCTGTAAGAAAATATTTTTGAGACACATGATCACGGATGGTATGCATTACAAAGCAGCAGGAACATAAAAGAACAGTATTAGAATATATAAAAGTGACTGAACACTTGAGTATAAGTTAATAGTTTACTT